AGAGACAGAGAGACAGAGACAGAGAGAGACAGAGACAGAGAGACAGAGACAGAGAGAGACACACACATGGACACACAGAGAGATTTAGGCTCATTCAGTTGTGCAATTGGCCAAGTCCACAATCTTCAGGGAAGACCAGAAGGCCAGAGATCCAGGGAAGAGTTAACGCTGCAGCCTTGAGTTCAAAGGCCGTGTGAAGTCAAAATTCCTTCTTCTTGGGGTTCATCAGTATTTTCTCTTAAAATGTTCAACTGATTGGATCAGGCTCACCACGTTGCTTAAGGTAATCTGAATGACTCAAAGCCTACTGATTGAAATATGAATCACATCAAAGAAGTACATCTCAGTAGTACTTAGACTAACGTTTGACCTAAAACTGGGCACCACAGTCAAGCTAAATTGACTCAAAATTAACTGTCACACTCGAGCTCTAGCAGAATTGTCCAAGTCCAACATTAAACAAATATGTATTAACAAAAATGTACTTACTGGGGACCGGCCAGATAGCTCAGCAGATTAAAGCACCTGCAAGCAGGTGCAGGGGCCAGGAGTTCTATCCCCAGGCCTGCCATGCCAGCCCTGCCTCCGGGGCACGCAGAGATGCCAACTGAGACTGGGCAGGGTCGAGCGCGCCTGTAATCCCAGCTCTTGGGAGGCTGTAAATAGGCAGATCACTGTGAGTCTGATTTAGTAGCGACACCCTGAACACCCTGTAGACCCTTCCCTAAAATACAAAAAAACAAAACAACAACCAAAAAACCCTAAAAAATGTACTTACTGTAAGAGACTGTTCTAAATGCCAGCCATACCAAAGTAAACCACAAAAAAGGAGTAACTTTCTCTCTATGGACCTCACCTTTAGAAACAGAGAACAGATAAATAGATTAAAACAACAAATGAAATTTATTTTTTAAAGTATGACAAATGGAAAAGTAATAACGCATGGAGGAGAGATGGCAGTTAAAGAGGAGGTATGCCTTTTTAAAAGAGGTGATCAGGAAAGGCCTCCTCCACAGATGAAGCACAGTCATGAAGGAGGTGACAACATGAGCCACAGGATGACAGCATGGGACCAGGCAAGGCAGCACAAGAGCTGAGAAGCTGGAGTTCGAAGGCCCAGTGGGAGGCCAGCGTGCAGAAGGCAGGCGGAGAAAGGGAGAGACAACCCTGCGGGCCTGGCCATGAAGGACTTGGGCTCCTAGCCTGATCTGGGTGCCAGGTAACAGGCAGCAGAGATCGAGGCAGTGGTCAAATTCTGGGTCTGTTTTGAAAGTAGAAAATGGGGGCCAGGAATATAGCTCAGTGGCATAAGCACCTGCCTGGTAAGAACAAGGTCCCAAGTTCGATCCCCAGCACTGCCAAAAGGAAAAAGTAAAAAATGGGACATACTGATGTCCTGAAGACACACTGAGAAAAAAATGGACATTTAAAATGCTCTAGCTTGGTCACCTTAGCAGCTAGAGGCCAGCACCCTCTTCTGAGAAACAAGACAGAGGCAACTAGGAATTTGTTTCAACAGCACTAACTGCATGCCAGTGGGACTGGACGGTGGGCAGCTGGGTGCCACCAGTCTAGAGTTTTGGGTACACCACCCAATCCCCATCTCAACAGACCCACAACAAATACCAAGGCAGTCAACATCCTTGCAGAGTAAGAGAAACATTTATAGATGGGAAAGGGCCTTTGAAACACCTCTCATGATTTTCAAGTCCACTTTCTTAGCAGCTCGGGGTCAGGAGACAGATTCTGAAACCAGGCTGCCTGTGCTCTCGGCCCGATGAGCCCACTTCCTAGCCCTATGCCTTTGGGGAAATCATTCCACCTCAGTTTTCTCACCCGTAAAATGGAGCACACCTGTGGCATTAACTTGTAGGGTGGGGATTGGACAAGGTTGGATGTGTTAACACCAAACAAGGCTTAGATCTCAGGATGCAAAATGAGCAGTAAAAACACTTACCACTTTAGTACTTACTATATTAGCAGTACTGGTTACCCATTATAAAGATTCTTTCAGGGCTGGCCAGATAGCTCAGTGGACTAGAGCACAGGGTTCGATCCCCAGTGGGCCATGCTGGCCCTGCATCTGGGGCACACAGAGATGGCAACTAAGACTAGGCATGATGGTACATGCCTATAATCCCAGCAGTTGGGAAGCTAAAAACAGGAGGATCACTATGAGTCCAACCTGTGTAGGGAGACCCTATAGGCCCTGTACTAAATACGTTAAAAACAGATTCTTTCAACATGCCCTGGCCTATAGTCATAATTACGTTGTAAAGGGTATTTCTAAGATGTCACAAGACTGCTGGGCAATGGTGGCAACATGCCTATAACCCCGGCACCCAGGAGGCTGAGACAGGAGGACTGGTGTGAGTTTCAGGCCAGCCAGGACCATATAAGTGAGT